GATTTTGTTTCCAGAACACCGTCGATTATCATCTTTTAGTGATTGGTTAAGTAAAACGGCAGAACAACGCAAGGTCTTTTCACCCCTGTTGAAACAAACCACATACAATGACTAATAGGTATGAAAAAAAGCATTACCTAACATACCTAAACTATTTTTAACTTACCAACTACATTTAAAAAGTGTCCAATCTTTGAATAACATGATATAGACGCGAGAGACAAACCTAATAATGTAGTCATATTCGGTTTGGTCTTCTTTGAAGCAATTTCTGCCATTTGGGAACTGTTCCCGGCTATGATAACACAAAAGTTCAATGAATTCAATGTTAGCATAAATCCGATTACAACACAAAAACCACAAGGATATTTACAATATTTTCATCAACTCCAAAGACCGCTTCTTCCATTTTATATTTCCATCCGTGCGTAACTTCTCACGTTCTGCCGTTATTACATCGCATAATCTTTTCGCGGTGTTCTGATAAAATAACATAAACATAAAAACCATAACAAATCAAATTTTACTAATTTCCACTTACCACGTTTTTCGATATTTTCGTTAAATATTGAATAATATCTTCTGCCCGCCCATCTTGTTCCATGGTTTGATCAGTTGAAGCTGAAGCGGAGTCAGAATCTGAATCAATCGGTGTTGCATCTGGCCTAGACATCAAAAACTTCTCTATAGTGCTGATGACATCTTCCCAATAATCTTTGAGGAGCTTTCGTGCTTCTGTAGCGGATGATTTGGTTGTGTCAATAATATTGTAGCGCATTAAGCTGTAAAATAAAACTATCAGTAAAGAAATAGTATCTAATGCGTATAGCCATATAGCGGCAATGATTAAAACAATTATACATACTCTTGCTTATGTATTTCTTCGACATATTTTGACGATTCGTGCCATTTCTCTATTACTGACCGGATACATAGGCTTTCTTGTAGAAGACTATCTTCTAACTCTTCTTCGGGAAGATGACACTGTGGCTCTAAGGCAACCTCCGCATTATCGTGGTCATTATTCATGTTTTCGTGAGTTTTCACCGGGGAAAAAAATTCGTCTATTTGCGAGTCTATTGTTTTCATCTTCTTTGTTCGATCCTTATGCTCGTCCTAAAGTTAAATACAATATAGTTAGCTCTGCTGATTCTTAACTTCTAGATAAAAAAAACGCATACCCCTTCATGATCTCTTTTGGATATAGATGATCCAGAAACAAAAGTCCCATTCTTGTTCATATTTATAAACCCGTTGATATTTTCACCGGTAATTGTTGGTTGGTGTAGATATATCCTATTACGAGATCTTTCATTATTCCAACTTTTCGCAACTTGACGATCGCCTCCATCGCCCTAATATAAAGGAATCTGCCAGCTCAGCTAGAAGCCTTTAGACGCAGAATAGAACAACCTAGAAGGTCACCCTAACGACCTAGAAGGTCGCCTACGCCCCAGCAGGGCCAATGTTAGGTAAGCTAGAAGCTTGAACACAGAACAGAACAACCTAGAAGGTCATCCTAACGACCTAAAGGGCCGCCTGCGCCCTAACAAAGCCGGTACTCAAGAATAGAACGAGCTAGAAGATCAACAGCGCCTTATCGTATAAAATTTTGCATTCTAACGTAAAAAACTCCAAAACCTTATACTTGCCTTCTTCCTGAAATTATCGAGACGCTGTTGTGCCGTTTTGCTTCTGTCATCATTTTTATTATTAGCAATTGCTTCAAGACTCTTAACGTAACAATCGATTTTCTGTTCAAACGGTTCAAGTTCACATTCCTCCAGAAAGTCCCGAATTTTCCATTCTTTAGAAACGCGATCGAAATATCCGTGTACTTTGGACATGACCAATAGTATTGGTATATCGTAGTTGTGTAGAGTTACGTATATATGGGATGATTGATGGTTCTACATACTACAAGCCACAAACGTCATACCCACCACGTGCGTTATATTGACTCTAAATTCGTGCAAACTTTATTGACAAACCATATGTTTCCGAAACTTTCCTCGTAATTCATGTTCTTTAATTGTCCATCTTTCCGAGAGTTACCGATGCTGAATCACCCACTTTCTAAAATTAGTATTTGTTTTGATTTCTGTGGTTAAATTATGTGATCTTTCTATATAATTCACTATTTTCTGTGGTATTCTACATATTCTGTGATATAAATCTATTTCTGTGAATTCTGTGGTATATATTATGTAAAACACAGAAAATCATCGGCCCTGCTCAATACGTATATCGATA